TCAATGGATATTAGGGCTAAATTAGAGAGTCTGTCTTCACTTGTTGAATTTCGTATAAAACGTTTAATGCTCTTTAAAGCTGAAAAACTTCGCTCAATTGACGCACTTGTGGCTGGGATGGTTAGTACTAAATTCACACCACTTGACGACTTCACAAAGGGACTTATTTAAACCAGTTGTTATAAGAAAATTTAACACATTAATGAGCGTGTTTTTATCACTAATTTCAGTTGTTTCATAAACAACACTAAACTGGGACTTTAATGTTCGAATATCGAAAAAATTTCCATAACTTAATTTAAGTGAATTAAATGCTTTCGATGGAAATTTTGATGAATCGTAGTTACTAATATTAAAATTGCACAATTCAACAAATTTTAATTCGTTAAAGTTTTGAAATCGAGAATTCATTTGTTGTAAAATATTATCAAAAATTTCGGCGTATAATCAACGATAGAAGGTCTCTCTGTCGCCCACATTATCAATTTTAATTCTCTTTTTTTCAGGTTCTAAGCCAATATTTTGAATCTTATTCCAAAAGTGTTCAAACTGATCTGGTTTTTTATTCATTTTATTTTTTAAATCATCAATTTGCTTAATGCAAAAGCCTATGTCATTAGACTTTGTCTGTAAAATGTCGAATAAAATGTCAGCAAAAATGTTGAGCAAAAAATTGAAATCAAAGTTTTGTTTGAGCCAATGCAAATAACCTTTAGCGGCACTAACAGTTTCAGCATCCCATGTTTATTTATTATCTCAAACGTCTTGAAAAAACTGTATCACAGAATCACGGTATTGAAACATTGTTTGCACTAAACGTCCATTGTAGTTCTATCGCGTCGGAGAAACTTTTGGAAACCTTTTTTGAACGTGAATGTCCAAAGCGCGAGTTCTTTTCGATGACTTTGAAAAGAAGGAAGCCAAACTACTAAGCGTCGAAAAGAAAGCTTTGCAATCTTTAATATTATCCATGCTTCGCGATAAAACCAAATTAAGTCTATGTGCTATACAGTGAACGAAAATTGCATGTTTAAACTTCTCTTTCACTTTAGCTTGAAGGCCTCCTAAATTGCCAGCCATTACGGCAGCACCATGGTAGCTCTGGGCAACAAGCTTAGAACCACATTCTAAACTTGAAATAATGTCACAAACAATTTTAAACAATGCATCTGCAGTTCGTTCGCTAGTGCGTCCAAAAATCCTAAGAATCGCTCTTGAGGAATGCCATCCAATACATATCGCATAACAATGGATAATTTACTTAAGTTTGCTACGTCTGTGGTTTCATCAAGCGCAATTGATATGAAAGATGCTTTTTTAATTTCGCTTTTAATGTGATCCATCACAACGTCGGCAGGGCATTTAATTAATTCATTTTGGATTCTGTTTGAGGTACCTCGGAAAGTCGTCAAATCAATAAAATAATTTTTTAGGGTATCATCGTATTTTACTAAAAAACTTAGAAGGTCCATGTAATTTTCTCCAATGGCGGATCTACTTGCTTCATTGTGACCCCTAAAACTTAGTTCATACTCTCCCAGGAAACAAGTTACATCTATTACTCGTTGTAAGACGTCCCTATTTTTTTATCCTTTCATTGTGAATTTTGTTGTTTATTTTTAAACAATTGTCCAAACTATGTTCAATAAGATAGGTCCTGAATGTTTTTTGCTATTTTGCTATTTACATGTCGTTTTACAAATTATTCAAGTCTGTAATACCGACTGAGTTCTAATGTGTTTTTTGGGCTTATTATTATAGAGAATTATATTACAAACAACTTTTATTTGAACAATTTTTATAAAAAATTATTTTTTTTACATTTTGTCAAATTTCTCGAATACGGATTATTTTAGGAAAATTTTGTATGGAACAAAAATTATAGATCATTATATTAGAAGTAACTTTTATTTAAATAATTTTCTTCTCCAAACGTAAATAACAGATATATTCCATAAAATATAAAAATTACCACCCATAAAGTACCCCGCCAGATGTTCCGACTCTGCCCAAAATCTAATCAGTTTATTAGACGCTGGAATAAAGCTTAAGTTTAAAATTTGGTGTTTTTCTGTGTATCGGTTCATGAGTTATGCGACACACACACACACACACACACACACACACACACACACACACACACACACACACACACACACACACACACACACACACACACACACACACACACACACACACACACACACACACACACACACACACACACACACACACACACACACACACACACACACACACACACACACACACACACACACACACACACACACACACACACACACACACACACACACACACACACACACACACACACACACACACACACACACACACACACACACACACACACACACACACACACACACACACACACACACACACACACACACACACACACACACACACACACACACACACACACACACACACACACACACACACACACACACACACACACACACACACACACACACACACACACACACACACACACACACACACACACACACACACACACACACACACACACACACACACACACACACACACACACACACACACACACACACACACACACACACACACACACACACACACACACACACACACACACACACACACACACACACACACACACACACACACACACACACACACACACACACACACACACACACACACACACACACACACACACACACACACACACACACACACACACACACACACACACACACACACACACACACACACACACACACACACACACACACACACACACACACACACACACACACACACACACACACACACACACACACACACACACACACACACACACACACACACACACACACACACACACACACACACACACACACACACACACACACACACACACACACACACACACACACACACACACACACACACACACACACACACACACACACACACACACACACACACACACACACACACACACACACACACACACACACACACACACACACACACACACACACACACACACACACACACACACACACACACACACACACACACACACACACACACACACACACACACACACACACACACACACACACACACACACACACACACACACACACACACACACACACACACACACACACACACACACACACACACACACACACACACACACACACACACACACACACACACACACACACACACACACACACACACACACACACACACACACACACACACACACACACACACACACACACACACACACACACACACACACACACACACACACACACACACACACACACACACACACACACACACACACACACACACACACACACACACACACACACACACACACACACACACACACACACACACACACACACACACACACACACACACACACACACACACACACACACACACACACACACACACACACACACACACACACACACACACACACACACACACACACACACACACACACACACACACACACACACACACACACACACACACACACACACACACACACACACACATACATCATCGCGAAAATAGTCAAAACGGATTCAGGAGACCTCAAAACGTAAAAATACGTCGAAAACTCGAGGTCGAAAAAAATCATGATTCCTATACTTTCCTTATATCTGTATACCTACAGATAGGAAAGTAATTAAAAATTTGCATTTATTGTGAATTGAACCGCGTCGCGAAATGCAAAATTGACTACATGTTCAATGCTTACCAGAACTAAGAGTCATGTCAAGTGTGTGTATTTTATATGTTTTTAGTCGATATTTTTTACAACTTTCAGTTGTCTGACGTCTTGTTTGCAGGAATTTTTAACTAAATCCTTGCAGATGACACTTCCTGATGGTCCCGCCTACCACTTTACAAAATTCCAGCCGGATGTACGATCATTACATAGACTTCATATTTTTGCCGCGTTTGAGAATCCACATCGGATGAATCTGTAAATGTAATGGGAGAGATGAGTCTATTAATAATAATAAATAGAAATAAGATTCTTTCCATTGTCTTGTTTATTTGGTGGTGCTGTTTACAAAAATCGATATTTTTTTCTCCGATTTTTTTACAACATCGATAGTCTGTATTTGATGTATCATTTGATGTCAACATCGATGTTTTAAAAATTTTGCGCATCCCTACTGTCGCGGCAAGCGAAATCAATTGGAAGATGTGCTGGCTTTTTTAAGGCGCGCTTCCGTCGATAGACTCGAAGTATGGTGTGCGTTTACACAATTAATTTTCTCATGGGTGGTGCGTGCGTTTACACATTACACCAATGAATTGTAAGTACATTTACGAAGTTTACGTAATGTTTCAGAGAAAGTATAGTACCTAATTGAATATTAATTTCTATGCATGGTAAACTGAAAAATATTTATTTTTAAATCTCAAAGTGTAGGAAAGCGGTGCTTCCCCTGCTTCCATGGACCGCACGCCCCTGTAAAAAGTATTTGTTCTGTGTTCCCAATAGTGGAAGAAACAGTGTAGTTCTTTTAGTCAGATTTTAATTTACATGCTAAAAACTTGTAGTCCACAGTTGAAATACAGTTTCATTTTGTACAGAGTAAAACCTGAAGAATTTCTAAATGCAGAAAAGCACAGTCTGTCTCAGACACCAACTGTGCAGACCCATCATTCCCACTGACTTTATATGTGTGAAATATTTTAATTTTGTTTTTTAATAAAACATAGTGATTTACCTTTAAAATAAAAGATGTTTTATTACTCTAAAAATATGTTGTATGTTTATAAGTAACAAAGCAAAGGTTTTTTTTAGTTCGGTGGTACGTCTTTAATTCGCATTGTACAAAAATTATAAGTGAAAAAAAGTTTGAGAACCGCTAGTCCAGAGATCAAATATTATTTTCAAAATCTATAACTTTCGATTGAAAGCCATTTTGAATAAAAAACGCAGATTCCTTTTGATAATACGATTTATTGATAAAGTTAAAAAAATGAACATTCAGTATTCCAATTATTTTTCTGATTTATGTAATTAGACAAAAATATTAAATGTCATAATATTTAGTGTTTTAGACTCCTTCTCGAATTTTGAAGCGTAAGCCCATATCTGCCGTTTATCGATTATTTTTTACTTTTTGTATATGGGTTTTAATCTTATCTCAACATTAAAAATTCTTATTAGGACATAAATTAGGGTTAATAGCAAATAATAATTTAAGTTGTCAATAATTAGTAGACGGATCTGTCTGAAAGTGTTAATGTATTTTTAATGATATTCTAAATTACCAAATTTTGCTTCTCGACGTGCTAGTTAGTAGCTCAACACTGTGATTACAGTTCACAACACCTAAGATGAAAACGTATTGGTGTTTTTTGATATTTGTTTTTACCTATGATGGTTTTATGCAGGGTATTAGTAGTTCTTCTTCAGATAATTCGTCAAAGTTAGTTGCTGTTGTTGTGGTAAGTTTATCATTTTATTTTAATTCGTATTTTTATATGTTTACCTGTTTTTTTAAGAGTAAATATCATTACATTTAGCACTACTGTCGCTTTTTACAATATATACAATTTCTTATGCTTCATATTGATTAAATACTTGATTGGTTGTCGAAATATTTTACCAAAACCCTTATTTTAAGTAAAAATTTTTCTCTCTAAAAATTTAAAAAACACAAAAAAACTATCGAGTCCACTTTACCTACAAGGCTTTTTCAGTCAAATTTCATGTTGTTTACATAATAATAAATTTTTAGATACATTCAAAACTGATATATCTCTATTGTCCGTTGAATTTAATAATATGCGTTGGTGATTTTGACATTGACATGTTAACCGATGCCGAAAGTAACTCAACCTACTTTTTACATTGATTTTGGACACTGTCAGAAATAGTTCAAATATTAGTATGTTATTTTTCAAGTTTTTAAAGACAACTTTCTTATGGACCCCAAGTTTGAAGCTCTATAGGGCGAGCTGTTAGAAAGATTCAAAAGTAGTAAGGAGTACATAATTATTATTTTCATCACTCTTAAATTCTTGTTTTTTCCATGAAACTTATGTCATGTGTTACACATGTATATAGATAGTTTGTTCTGTTCATGCACTTTGCAAAATAAATCATACAGCGTGTTCAAAAAATTGGGAATATCTTTTACTGAAATATGGTGCATTTTTAATGTTGTACCGTAGTTAGAGTATTAAATAACTTAAGTACGCAGTCTATTGCCTTAAGAACTGGTTTAGTGAGCACAACTTTGTAATTTCTTCTGACAAATCTGCATTTACGAGACACAGATTACAAACCCCTCTATGTGGACTAGAAACTCCTATAAAAAGCAATATAAATATTTAGGTGTCGTTTTGGACAATAAGCTCTTATGGAATAATCACATAGAGCACATTCAAAATAAATGTCAGAAGGGAATAAATGGGGTGTTGATCCTAATATCGTGCTCCAATTCTACAGGGCATACATTCGTTCAATACTGAATTCAGCATCAGAATGTCACTTACGTACAATAGACAAAATTCAATATCATGCAATAAGAATCTGCATTGGAGCTATGAAGTCGTCACCGGTACAAGCAATATTAGTTGAGGCTCAAGAACTGCCCCTCAGTATCAGGCGTACCTATCTAGCGTCAAAAGAAATGATTAAACTTAAATGTTTTCATCCTGGAAAACCCATATTAAAAAGTATCTATCAGCTAGCACTTAACAATCTTACTGCTAGTTACTGGAAATTAAAAAAGAGCCCTTTATTAGCAGATGCTTTTACTAATGAAACTACGAATCTAGAAATATATCTTAATACATTCCCCATATTCACTTTATCCTTCGACACTATCGTGTTTAGGCCAACTGTAATATTCCCCGATTACAATGAAATATACACTTACAATAATAAAATTCTTCAATCCATCCTGTCGTTTCTTCAACCATCTTTAAATTTATACAGATGACTCAAAATCCAGCGAAGGTACTGGTTATGCATTTCACATTGAACATGCTCTAAAGTGGCTCATAGACAATAAGAAGACAAGAATGCTGTTATTATTTCGGACTCTAAATCTGTTCTAAAGGCTATAGACAATTTCAATTTTTTTAAAATACAGAAATTTCAAAATTTATGTAATATAAAAGAATATGTGCCTATCTCTGCTGGGAAACAAAATAACCTTTTTGTGGGTAAAGAGTCATTGCGGGATAAAGGGAAACGTAAACGTTGATGTCCTTGCTAAAAGAGCAACCACTCTCAGTATCACCATCAACTTTTCAATTTTTAATGTCCTAATTAATTCAGTAAAGAATGAAATACGAACTGCTTGGGAAAGACAATGGATGGTTTACACAGAAAAATTCAATAATCATTATAAATTAATTCACCCTATATTGCCACGTAACATTCCACACCTTTCAAACTTCACTATCTCAAGAAAATATGCAGTAACTATTACACGTCTCAAACTTAACAATGCAAAATTTTCATCTCTATGATTGGTATAAGTCCATCACCATTCTGCTCATGCGACAATATTTCACTTGGGGACTTAAATCATATTTTCTTTTCCTGTGGTAACCATAAACGTTATACTGAACAACTATTACAAAATATGCTTCAAATCATATTTCCCTACCTTCAAATATTACATCCTTACTTAGCACTCAAAATAATAGTATATAAAAGCACGGCATAAGAAACAATCGGCAGGCTCACTTGCCACTGATCGCATACAAATATTATACTAAGAAAATTTGACCTTGGCGACGCCATTCGGGGTCTTAGTCAGGGTCGGACTAAAGTGTATTTAAAGATTTTGTAATAAAATAAGGTACTGATAGGCGGGATCGTATTAAAACAAAAAAGTAAACATTTACGTAAAATATATTTTAATTTAACTTATAAGAACAGCATTAAGAAAGACAATATGCTCTACAGATTGCGCCAAATAATTAGCTTGTTTTTATTGATGGTCTTAAAATTTCTATTAATATTTTTAAAGTGTAATATATGAGTAGCCTTAAATATAACTTAATAACATATATTTCTGGAAATTAATTAAATCTAAAAAAAAATTACAAATGCAGGATTTAGTGATAAATAATTCAAAATTGTGTTGAAAAATTATTTCAATTTTTGTTATTAAACATACAAAACTATTATTTGACATTTTTAAATTGCCAAAAATATCTTCATTTGCTTTTTTTGTATGCTTTATAATAACAATACATGGAACTTGTATCCAAGTCTTCGTGTGGTAAGGCATATTGTGTACATATATCGAAACTGTGAATTTTAAGACATTTTTTTATTAAAAATCCGCATATATAATAAAATTTTCTTAAAAAATATTAATATTTTGTGCATGCAATTCATTAATATGCTTGTTTATATTTACATTTTCGACAATATTAACTATTATTTGACATTTTTAAATTGCCAAAAATATCTTCATTTGCTTTTTTTGTATGCTTTATAATAACAATACATGGAACTTGTATCCAAGTCTTCGTGTGGTAAGGCATATTGTGTACATATATCGAAACTGTGAATTTTAAGACATTTTTTTATTAAAAATCCGCATATATAATAAAATTTTCTTAAAAAATATTAATATTTTGTGCATGCAATTCATTAATATGCTTGTTTATATTTACATTTTCGACAATATTGCCATCCTTACTAGTCCTACGAATTTCATGCAGCCTTACAAGTAAAGCATCCCCACCTGCTTCGCAGTTTTCAGTTCCAGAATGAAATAAATTTAAACATTGCAATTTTTTGAGCGTCCTTTGAAATTGGACCGATGTAGGGTTTACACAGTTACCATCATGGAGGAAGGATAATTAAGAGTTGCAGATTCCTCACAAAAATTTGGCAGCATGTTTACCTTCAGCGACATATGGAATAGTTTTGTGCAATTAATACTCAGTCGGTAATATAGAAAGATGTAATGCTATTTTAGTTTGAAAATTAGCGGGATTTTGAATTTACTTCGACAAAATATAAGAATTTTACATTTTTAATAGCACTGCTTAAGACACATGATTTTGATTGTATGTTACTCATTACTAATTTTTAATTTACTACTTATAATTTCTTTAATGGCTAATTAAGATTTTCTTGCTTTTTGTAATGAAAATACTTTAGATTTATCAAGATTATAAAGCTTTGTTATTCGCATATCTAGAATAATTATTATCAAAATGAATATCAGAATTAAATTTTTGTTAAGCATTTCAATATTTGGGAATAACACAATTACGATTAATATTCATTTTTTTTTCAGAAAAAAAAGTCATTCCTTACAAAAAATTCTGCTTGTTAAAAAAAATTACAAGAAAAAGTTTCCTTTTAAAGTTATGAAGGAAAACCGACAGGAAAACTGTGACTTTTCTTCGTAAAATCAATAGGTAATACAGATTTTTTCCTTTTGTCAATTTTAAGTTTCTTCATTTATTAACATATTAATATAGTAAACCTATTTTTTCGTCAAACAGAATTTTTTTATAATGACTTTTTCCTTAAAATAAAAATAAAGATTTTTCCATTTTGTCAACTCCATACGGGAGATGTTTAAAATATAACATTTTACTTTAAATCTTAATAATATACCTACATAAGTAAATATAAATTGACGCTAAACTTTACATGACGTAAACTAAGCACCTTCCTACATCTTACTAATAGGTTTATAACTGACAAACTGTCCCATAACCTACGATTTTTTTAAAAGTATACTATACATACCTACCTAATAGGATCTTTAAGAAACCGAAAAAATCTTTTAATACAGTTTATTCATATAGTTTTTGCTGCACAACTTTACCCAGACATAGTAAAACACTTCAAAGTTAACAAATTAACACTGGAAAACAACTACTATATAAAAAGTGTCAAAAAATATCTACAGGGTGAGTTGGGAGGAGCGCACCAAACTCTAGGAGTATATTATACACGTGAAAATAATGTAAAAAAACTCATGTTCTTATCCGATTTTCATTTGTTTTCAAGTTATGGCGTAATTAAAAATGTTTATCTAGCTTTCCACTTCTGAATTTTAACATTATCAAAGTATGCCATATGTTCAAGGCTCAAAGGCATTTGATTATTCTGACGATTTTAGTGTACAGTGAATAGTTACTGAACGTTTAATTTCGAATTTATGTGATTGTTAGTGTTGCAAAATGCCAGATACTTATTCAAATTTAGAATAAGAGAATTTTTATGTGTAAATTTGTTTATTTGTTAATATGCTATAACTTGAAAACAAGTTAGCCTGCCGATTGTTTCTTATGCCGTGATAAAAGTATAAGTGGATATAACGGTCTTTAAAACACGCGCGATTTTTCGAGCACGACGGCGCAGCCGGAGTGCTCGAAATAGAGCAAGTGTTTTAAAGACCAGTTATCCACGAATACTTTACGCTATTTTTTTTTTATTGGTATACTTTGAAATC